AACTCACCCACTTCTCTGGAACACCGTAATGAAAGGGCGATCTGGAACTATTTCATAGATATTGTTCTTTCCTTATTGGTAGTTCCCGCGAGATCAACCCGTCGAGTTGAGGCTTCGCACCCCTTCGTGGTCACTTTGGAGACCTGCAGAACATCCCTTTTCAAAGACTCGTTCATCCAACGAACAGCGAGGAACACATTGTCAAGGTAGGTGTTTCCTGAGGCATATAACCTCCAGAATTTCAAGAGGAACATTACAGGATATATCTTTTTGTGAGAACCAGGACATAAAAAAAAACGTCCAACCCCCTCACTCAGCTCATGCATCAAGCCTACTGCTTCCTACTAATTTTCAAGAGCTTTTACTTCATATTGGTGATGCTATGGAATGAAATTCAAATTGGTGAGTTTGTCGATCTAAGGAAACTGTCAACTAGGAAAAAGACAAATACTTGAAGTGGAATGCTATGGTCACGAAAGAAAGAAACTCAAAATCATTACCACAATATAGTTCATAATATGAACGAGAATGGTAGATAACGAGAGAAAAATGATTACTTTCCTTGCTTTATGCCATGTAGAACATTAGATTACATCCTTCCGAAATCTATGCAATAATTCGTATAGACGAATAAAATTGCAAGTGTTTCCTACCTAAACGCCGAGCTGCGTCTAAGTGATGGTTCAGGAACGCGTGACTATCTGCAGAACGGTACAGGGCTGTCCCAGATAGCATTCTTGACCGTTATCTGGTGCGAACCTGACCCAACGTGAACGCATCTCAATATTTATACCCCACGTGGCGTTCGACCTCCGCGAAATGAACGCTAGTTGACAATACGCCAGTTGGACAACCAGCCACTCCCATTTTACCAGAATGAGATCTTGTTTCGGGGTGTTTCTTTCTTTGCCAGGTGGCGTTCGGCGTTCGCGATTTTGGAATCGATTTATTCATTATTTATTCAATATTCATTTCTTATTGATTCGTTATTACATTACATTCATTCATCGGTTGCTGACTTCCGAAGTGGCACCATGCCACAGCGATTTATTTGCTCCTATTATTCCGGACATACTTCCGTCATGTGATAACGCGTTGAAACAAAAAGCAAATTAAAGGGAGAAATATGTCCTTTTTACGAATATCTAAGAGTGCCACGATTCGAACTGATCTAAGTTGGTGGCAGATCTTTTTATTTTAATGAAAACGCACGGCACTCTCTAAAATGATGTCTCTGAAATACTGATCATATCAAGAGTTATTAATACCGGTTCAAATTTGGTGAAGATCGCACGGGTAACAGCAGAGATATTGGGGGGAAGGGGCATTTTGAAATGATAAACACTTCAGATACTGTACATAGGCACAACCATATCCTGGCTATATAGTTATAAATAATGAAAAATGGTTAATGTAACGAAATAACTGGTTGTACCTATCCGAACCAGATGATTCTTCCCCGAGCAATAAAACATTGGAAACGATGAAATTTGATGAATAACAAAAAATTAAAGACTTAAGATCAACTATTGCAATCACCATACATATTGACGAATTTTTGTCAAGTCAAGAGTAGCCCCAGACCAGACTAACTTCGGAACCCTCACATCCAATATTCATATTTTTCACTTCATTCTGCTTGTACCATTTCTTTATGAGAGTTTCTTGGTAATTTTTCATTTTCCAATGTCAACGGTGCTTTGGAATTATAACCTATTACTACTATTGTTACTGGGGGGGGGGGGGGGGAAGAAACGTTTGCAAGTCAGCAACTAGTCCTTAATTGGACCTTTTTGCAAGGTTCGCTTAACAGAGCTGGCTAACATCCTTTTCAGGCACCGCCCATCAGCTCTTTCAGTTTTTCGACTGTGTTTTGTAGGCTTGTGACACTACCATATGCTTCAGTCTCGCTCTCACGCTCAGCTGGTAGTTTTCTACACCCACCTACATACACCGTCTTACTTATTGCATTAAGTATTCACAGTGTATATAATCAAGGCTTTTTGTCAGATGCTCACAACTACATCATCATCTCCTTCTGCGTGTTCTGTACAGGCTTTGTTACTAACTCTACGCGTCACTTTAGGAGAAGCACTGTTGATTGGACCGCAACAGTGAATCGTGCAGGACTAATCATATCCCAAGAATATGTCAACAGAATGAAAAAAATGTGTTTGACCAGTTTTTAGCCTGGAGGAGAAAGAAAATGGTGTACACAACTCGTTGAGAAGTCGCTGATGCTAGATTTAATGCGGAATACACAAAAGTATATCTATATTCATAATTCCATTTGAAAATTTTGGAGCGTTGATTCTGCAAGGAAGTCGTATTCGGTGTCCCCCGAAGAATGATAATCGACGTATCTTGGCATTTTACTATGAGTGCAATTGTTGGTAGGAGGATCATTTTCATATCCTATACTCAATCCTGGTAATCTGTATCATTATAGCATTACCTTCATAATTTCGTTCTCAGATTTTTTCAGTAATAATTATGGTATTGATTTCTCGTTCATGTAACTTGTCCACTGGTGGTTATGAATATAGGAATTTCCTTTCGTGCGCTCCAATGAGAGATTAAAATATATACATATTTATTTTTATATGCATGCAGAATGTATTATAACAACCAACCTTCATGATCATGAAAATAATTATGATTTCATTGGAATTAGTTTCAATAGGTTTAACCTCAGATAATTATCACAAATCATTACCATAATGTTTGCAAAGTAATCTAAATGAGTTCGTTAACGTATGAAGTATGACTATGGTAGACAAAACAATAGATATAGTAGCAGCTGCTGTCATCTATCCCCTCCCTCCTTCTATAATTCCAGAGGCGATCTTAGAAAATAGAATTAAATCGCATGCTAGATGATATTTTTTAATGATTTCAAAATCACCAATGTTGGGCAATTGATTCAGAAAACAATGTTCATACATTTTCAAATGCAGAACAGAATTGGTAGGTAGATATGAAATAATTTCCAACGAAATCTCTTCCATTTGTTTATTTTATTCTATCATCATTGTTACTTTGAGTGATGGCTATTTTTCTCGAAAAATAACCTTATTATTAGATGACCGCTGGTAATATGGGATAGTTCGAAACAAAACTCACTAGTTTCAACCGCCTCTGTGAAATCAAACTGACAATATTTGAAAAAATTGAATGTCAACTACATCCATCCAAGTATACAGTATATAGTATACAACCTACGTATACAGTATACAGTATACAGTATACAGTAAACGTATACAGTATATAGTATATAGTATACAGTATACGTATACAGTATACAGTATACAGTAAACGTATACAGTATACACTATACGTATACAGTGTTCAGTACACGTACACAGTACATGTATACAGTATATGTATGCAGTATATGTATACAGTACATGTATTATGGGTCAGCATTTGTTTGTTGTAATTTCACTTCTAACCCATGAGCCTTAGTGTATATTATTTATGATTTCCTTCCAGGTTTCGGAAATCATGTAACTTGGCTACGCTGTACTGATGATGTGCATAATAACACTGAAACGCATGTATCCGCAGCTGCGCCATTTCAATACAAATATACTCATATATTATTGGGACTTTCACTACATAATTAGCTATGACACGGACTATAATATTACTCTTGTCATGGTGAAGCCGTCCCTGCACCACAAAGAATTCTGAAATTGGTAGTGTATACACTTGTTACACGTGTACATTGTTCACTCAAAAATTAAACTACTCACTCATACCTTATCAATATGTTCAGGTTTCTATACTAGAGAGACTTTGTGAAAAAGCAGAGGTAAGAATTTTAGACAATATATGACTTGATTGCTTAAGTCATTATTTTATGATCATTCTTATGCTAGCTATTTGAATCAGCAGTTCTGAAATCTAAAGTGGTAATTGTACCTATAGTTTTGAATATATCGAAGACTGAAACTTTTCGCACGATAATCGCACTATTGCAGTATTGAAGTACATTTTCAATTTTTTAAGTTTTGAGATTGAATTTTCATTTTTAATCTCCCCCTGAAGATGCTAACATATCAAAAATATATCAGACATAAGGTTTGTATACATTGCGTTCGTTTAATTGAGAATCTCCTAAAACAGGTTTATATTTATTTTCAATTTGCCATATTTATAAGAAAGAAATGAATATACAAGGTGATCGACATTTGATTTATGACGTCCACGACAACTTTCTCAGAAGGAACACCCTGAATATTATTCAATTTTTGGAGAAGCTTGATTTGAAATTTTATCACACATGAGGTTTGTATACAGAGCGTCCATTGAATTCATTGCACTCGTAAAATGGGGTCGCACTGTATACGAAAACTATGTGTTATATATTTTTGAATTCAGCTTTCTATGAAAATTCCAAAAATGCTATAATCTGTAGGGTGTTCTGTTTGAAGAAATGATCGCGGACGTCAGAAATCGAACGTAGATCACTCATTCTATTCAATTTTCGTTTATAGATCTAGAAGATGGGAAATAAAGATTGATCTGTTTCATAAATAATTTTTTTCACCACTTCACGAGAGCACTCAATTCAACGAACGCACTGTATACAAACCCTATTTGTGTCTTATATATTTTTGCATAAATTCAACCGTTGATGGAGATTTCAAGAATTTTTTCAACATATGGAAAATTCTATTTGATAAAATTGTCGTGGACGTCAGACCTCAAACCTGGGTCACCCTGTATACTCAATTTTCACTTATAAATGTGGAAACATGTAAATAGCATTCGGCTTGTTTCAGGAGATTTCGCAAAAATGGACAGTTTAGCTAGAAATAAATTTATTTTTTTCTTTTCACCACACAGTTAATTTACCATCTATATTATTCTATATCCCAGAGATCTCAGCAACTCGAACTCTCACAATTGATTCAACCCATAATTAACCACAGTATCCCGCAGGTCTCCACGAAATGCGGAGCATCACAACCAGTCCGAAAACACCCTGAACCAAGATGCAAAGCAACTTCCAATTCGAGTCCAGGCTACTCGAAGTGTCCAACGCAACTGACCTGACCACCACCGTGTACTACCTGGTCAACCAGACCGACTGGGGACCCAAAAGGGACCCCCTGTACATCGTGGTGCCCATGAGCGTGGTCTACGTCGCCATTTTCGTCTGCGGAGTGTTGGGCAACGTGAGCACCTTCGTCGTGATAGCCCGGAATAAGTCGATGCACACTGCCACCAACTACTATCTGTTCAGTCTGGCGATGTCGGATCTGTTGCTGCTCACTTCCGGTTTGCCGCCAGAAATCTATTCCATCTGGTCGAAGTATCCGTATATATTTGGGGAAGCCTTCTGTATTCTGCAGGTGAGAGTTAAACTATCTGTACACCAACCCAGCAACCATTTTGATAAGGGGCATCAATGGCCCAATATATTCTCCCCATACCTGACATCAGCTGCCCAGTAAATGGTCCCATATGCGGGGCTCTGTATATCACTACATTGCGGCCGGCAGCTGGTCCTAGTGCTAGTTACCCAGCAATCATATTCAGTTCCCCGGCAAAAGGCCAGTATAACATCATGGACACATCAAGTTTCCCATAGCAAGCCAATCACATACATAAATGATGGGACTGTATTGGCCAATTATCGACATTGGCTACATACCTACTATCGAAGTAGGGGTTAGGGGTTTTGAGGGTTTAATGGATCTGAAAGTTTTCGTAACTCTATATTTCATAATGTATTCCTCTCATATCTTATCGAACATACCAGATTCCAAGGAAAAAAATTATGAATAAGACAATATCTTCTTAACCTCCCTCTTCTTCCATGATAAAATTTCTCAGAGTGTTTACCAGCTAGTATCTACATCTACATCTTAGGTATTTGGATAGCATTATCCCTCCAAAATGGATTCTTCGTTGCGGGGTAGGTACTCCTGAAATATAGAATTCTCCATCAGTTATCAGTGGCCTTTCTTGAAACAGGAATTCTGCCTCTATAGGATTAAAAGAAACGAAATACTGTTGCTAAAGTTTATAACTTGATCAATATGGTCTGATAACGTGATCACATGTGGAGCTTCTCATTATTTTTTCAGCATAGTCATTTCTGTAGTTGGAACCTTATTGTTATTCACTTCTATAACCTGAGATTACTTTTGATAGCAACGAATAAGTTAAACATGATAGTTATGCTTCTGAAAAGATAAAGCTACTCCAATTATTATGAACGCAGGATATATGAGGTTATGAATTACCGAACACATGCATTTCAATCATCTCATAATGAAATATTCGAAAAACGAGATAGGTAGATTGATACTTACTCAATATTATCTCATTGAAGAATCCTCGGAAGAATCCATCTTCTATATTATCAATTAAGAATACTCCTGTCATCATAAAGAACGACCAGGGGAAAGTGCGGAGCACAATAATTCGACGACAAATCAGAGAAGAATGAAACATATGCTAACACTATAGTCACATATAATACTGTCTGTGGGTTAATCGAGGAGGTGGTACATTCATTTTACTTGGTTCTTTGGGATTTTCTCTCCTCGTTTCTATAAAATAAAAGTATTCGTATTATTTCAATATATTTGTAGAGGGACAAATCAGATGATTTGCGCAAGGATGACACGCAAAATCGTGAAGCGTTCCACATTTTTCAAAGATAAGTACAAATTCGATATTTTTTCAATATATCTATATTTCTTTCCTTCGAAAATTTTTTTAAACAAATTGTCACTGACAAGCTACTGGATTTTTCTTTTAGACTCCCTGATAGAAAAATTTGTTAAACGCAGTGACATTTTGGGGCAAATCATCTGATTTGTCCCTCTACAAATATATTGAAATAATACGAATACTTTTATTTTATAGAAACGAGGAGAGAAAATCCCAAAGAACCAAGTAAAATGAATGTCACATATAATAATAATCCAAATGATCAGCTGACTGTTGATGTAGACGTTCCCAGAACATCCACCAGGGGCACAAGTAGTGAACAGGATATTGGCCAGCAAAGGGTCATAACTGGTTAGTGTTCAAGTTGTTCCAGACTTCTTAGCATCACGATGCTATCATCGTATTTTTAGCTAATGGTTACTTCGCAAAGAGGAACCCCGGCATCGTCACTTTCCCAGACTTGCCTGCACTACGCCGGACATCTCCCGGTAGTTCAATGTTTGCTGGGAAGGTAGTAATGAATATCAGTATCACCCAGGGACCAAGGTCCGGGCTGAAGGAAAAATATAAATGTGAACCAATGAGAACAAAGTAAACAGACAGCTTTCAAGAACACCGATAGGTGGCATACGCTTATTTTCTATCGCGAATGATTAAATTTTTATAGAAGTCTGATAGCAATGACCATGGCAGCATTTATGACAAGTCGTTATTGATAAATACCTACTAGATTCGAATGCAATTCCTGAGAATCTCGCATCAGAACAGTGAATTCGGAAAAATTATAACAGAGGTGTTCATTGACTATACCTTTTCAACTTCAATTTCGGAATCGGTACGTTATATTTCGGAAAAAGTAATCTCGATTTCAGAATTGGTTAGTTCGATTTCAGAAATAGTAAACTCAATTTCAGAATCGGAGAGATAAATTTCAGAGAAAGTCCATTCAATTTCAGAAATGGTTGTATTTCAGAATTGGTAGGTTCAATTTCAGAAACCAAATCCTTATATTTGTTTGGAATGTTTTGAATTGCATGTGAAATCAACAAACCATATTTACAATATTTAACTTTTCAAAAACAATTTAATAACATAACTATATATAATCTCCACTTAATCCACACATATGTCTTCCATCCGAATCGCAGAAGGATAGTGGCGTTGCACATGATTATAAGAATGCTAACACATTCAAGGTGTTATCATTTTCTTTGAATGATCTGCACATTCTTCAAGACATCGCAGTCTGAATTCTATCTGGTTGAGCAATCTGTTTGGATCCCCGGCTATGACCCTTTGGCGATGCTCTTGTAAAAGCTTTTCACTTCTGAATTGAAGATACACATATATCTTCAATCGGGTTCAACATAAGGCTGTAAATATAACATCTTGAAATTCTTCCTCAATGCATATCTCTTCTATTCTTGAATGGGCAGGTGCAATATCCAGAACTACCACTATGGTATTTGCAGGATGCCCATTTCGAAAGTACGCTCTCAAACACCGTTTCATCCACTGTAAACAATCTTCTCTTATGCAATTAAAAACATTCCAAACAGATATAAGGATTTATTATCTGAAATTGAACCTTCCAATTCTGAAACACAACTTACCATTTCTGAAATTGAATGGACTTTTTCTGAGATTTAACTCACCGAAATTGAGTTTACCATTTCTGAAATCGAACTAACCAATTCTGAAATCAAGATTACTTTCTCCGAAATATAACTTACCGATTCCGAAATTGAAGTTGAAAAGGTATAGTGTTTTATAAAATGATTAAATTCACCTTGGTAGTGATGACACACTTTACGCATTGAAAAGGAGTAAATATTGTTGTTTCTTTGGTATTTCAGACAGGGTGGAGACTTCAACTAATATAAAAACGCTAGCGGGAAGATGAATGATTCGTATAAAAATTCGACATCTGGAAACGAATATCACTCGTTATAATAAAGAGATTTATAGGGGATACGCGTCCACTCTGTTTTTATTCTTGTGGGAAATAATGAATCACTTCTGACTTGGTATAGGGTCGTTATATTTTTTTATCTATCAATTCATATCAACTTTCTGGGTATGACAGAGACCATTAAAATAAATTGGGGTTGATTACGGAGGGTTTGGTATTTCATACCGAAACATTCGATTAATTGGAACTATTCGTGAACAGCTTTCTTCTTCCTCTCAACCCTTTGACATCAGAATATCACGTTTACCTACTACTTTCTACCTATCCTACGATGAATTGAGATTCCGGTATTTCCGAACTAGCAATGACACACCTATTACTTCAAATTATACCGGGCATCAACAAGTCATTAAACAAGTCATAACTCCTCGAACATCAGATAACAAACTGAATTCAGGAATATATGAATGGTAAATGGAGAGGAGAGGAATTGCACATATTTTTTGCTTTCCTGTCATATTTGTATCACATTTTAAAATGAAGCACCGTGTTTATGGTTTCATTTCAGGATTTGCGAGAGTTTTTACGCCTTCTTCATTTTTTAGAGACACTCGATCTCAATGTTTCCATCATTGAACGGAAACTAATCTACCGTTTTGATCTGCTGCTATAAAATTATGTGAGAGATATTCTGGAACAATTTTTTTTATTGGATGCAACTTTCAAGTAACGATTTCCATGAATTTTCAACATGTCCTAAATGTCCGAATAAACGAATTATTATTATCATTGATCAATGTTTGCCTAGGTATCTCTGACATAACTATACGATCTAATACCATAAGGAAAAAACTATGCGCATACCAAGAAACATTAGGCAAACAATTTGGATGTGATTTTTGGTTTGCTGAGCAATGACCAAAGTGCAAAACTTGAAAATCTTAGAATATATAAATCGAAACCAATATATCAAGAGCTCACCACCATTGTTGGAAACCATTCCTCTCAATCCTTGAGTAATAAAGAACTCAACCCTTTGAATAAATGCCTGAATTCCCATCTGCTTCATAGGACAGTCTCGATGGAGTATAATAATGATGAGTGTTATATCTCCTTGATTCTTCAAAAGAATTTGCCAGAGCAGCAGTTAGAAAACAAATTTCCAAAAATGTATCATTATAAACAAAACTCTCAACGGAAAACTCGAAATTATTCGTTCATTGATATTTTATTGTTCCTTTTATATTCTGTATTGATAGAGTGAGTCTGATAAATTTTAGTTAACAAAAAATATCGCTGGATTACAGGAGAATCCGTGAAAATGGTCGATTCTGATTGGTTCTTAGAACAAGAGTGGAATAGTCAGAAAACATACGCCTCAGTGGGACTGCGCTCAATTATACAAGTCGAAAGACGGCAGCCTCAACTAACAGAACTCTGTTGTTTCAGGGCTTTGCCGCTGAAACTTCAGCCAACGCGACTGTCCTCACCATCACAGCTTTCACGATCGAGAGATACGTCGCCATTTGTCACCCCTTTCTGTCCCACACTCTGTCCAAGTTAAGCCGAGCTGTCAAATACATAATAGCCATATGGGTAATCGCCATGTGTCTGGCGATACCCCAAGCCATGGCTTTCGGCGTAGTTTGTGAGGAATCTCTGGACGGATACGTGTTAGACGATCACTGCGTGTGCAACGTCAAGAGGTCGGTGATTCCCCACGCCTTCGAAATATCCACATTCGTGTTCTTCGTTGCTCCGATGTCGCTGATCACGGTGCTCTACGTCCTGATTGGTCTGCAGCTGCACAGGTCCACGGTGGGACCATCTCGAGGTAGCAGCGTCAAAATGAAGCATCGAGTGTACAAGCCGGTCGTCACCTATGCTAATCCTTCCACGCAAGTCCTGATGATGAACGGCGAGCAGGAAACGTTGCGGGGCAGCGTCAAGAGCCAGGAGGAGGACGGGCGAAAGAATTTCGCCAAGAATGCCCAAGCTACCAAACATGTGGTCAAGATGCTGGGTAAGTTTTCAAGATCAGTTACAATATATTGTTGTCTCGCAGACTGAGGTGTAATATATTCCAGCTCCCCCTTCTTTATACAGAGAGAGAACTAGTCCTTGAGAACTTCAAAATTTTATGAAAATATCATGCAGAAGTCAACTTGTCATACATCATACATCATTGTATACAGAAAAAAACTAGTACAGAAAAAAAACTGAAAAACATGGTGTCGTAACAGTTCAAATTTGAGGAAATGATGATCAGATCCTACAATAGCGATGAATATGATACCGAAACGTTTCACCACAGAGAATGATCTCTCTCTACTTTCGCTGCAAATGTGTATAGTGGGTTAGGTTAGGTTATGTTAGGTTACAAGTGATTGGTGCTATTGTGGCTCACACTAATTCTCCACCAAGTAGATCCAGTTCCTAATGAGGCCGATTAGTTCACTTGGTGAGTTATCTTCCAGGTCCAAGTGCGAGAGTAAAACCCTGCCAAACAACGAAAACCTGAGGCAATAAGCACAGAGTACACGCTCTGCTGTTTCATCATCCTCAAGGCAGAGACGGTACGTGAATCATCCGACAGCTCAAGTCTCGACTTGTGATAATTAAGACGTCAGTGGCCTATAAGAAGGCCTGTTAGAGAGCGTAGCCCATCCCTGCAGTAATCTAACATTTGTTAGGTAACATTCTTCGAAGGATGTATAACTGCCTTGGAATTAGCCAATCCTGGTAGATTGAAGTCTGAAACTCTTCTTACGGTCCAGGTGTTCAGTATATGTTGGTCGATGCCAATGGAAGGTTCTGGTCTAATCGAACTACTCGCGACATCCTCCCTTGCAAGGGAATCTGACGTTTCGTTAGAGTCCGACCACGTTAACTTTGGGACAGCATGTGAAGCAACGCATATTCAATGCATACGCGACCACGTGTTATCGTGGTCGGACTCTACCTTCCATACCGGAGTGGCAAGGAATCCATACCAGAAAAAAATTCATTTAGTCTCCCAATCGCGAAGAGACTATTTTGGCAGTGCTTTTAGAGCCCCTTAGCTATCCGGAATATTTTTTTTTGCTTTATGTGTGAGGTGGGTTTTGTCGAATCTCTCCACACGCACATCAAAAGCGTGAATTTGCGCCTGAAATAAGGATGCATAGGACCCAAGACAGGTTTATTTCTCTGTCCTAGATCTGAGAGCGTACTTTCAAAATTGCCCAGGCATTATAAATAATGTCCAATTATTCACATTGCTCGTAATATATACACCGGCACTGCGTATTGTAAGAGAGGTCTTTAAGAGGATCTCAATATTTGAGAAAATTATAAATACCCGCACTGCGTATAATGAGAGAGACCTTTAAAAGGGTCTCAATTTTTGATAAAGTTATAAAAAAGACGTCTATAGTTAATCTGTACATATTTTCTGGATTGGTTCAACTTCAACTTAATTCTAAGTGATTTTTTTCCTCTTTTTATCTCAATGGCAATTAAAAGGATGCATCCTGCAATAATTGTTTCATCTTCTTTCTGCAACCTACAGTTTTGAGCACCTGAATTCTTTTTATTCCCATTCATTGTTGATGTTGAATTTCAAAAATGAGAAGTTCAGATTTATGAAGTCGGTGCCGGTTCGCACTTTTGCTAGTCGAGGTAGTCACACATCACTTATTGAATGTTGAAGTTGAGATTCTAAAGTGCATCAAACATTTCTTTCTACAACTGACCCACTGCAATGCCGAACAGGTCATGAGAGGGAAAATTCATGGAAATAAAGGAGAGGACACATCATAACTAGGATCATCAACATCAACATTAGAGAGAATTCCATGAAGGTCTATTCGGTAATTACTCGACTAACTCCCTGTCCTGCTGCTACCGTCCACAGAGTTTCTTTTGTTTAGCGCTATCCATCGGACCCTCTTTCACATTGTTTTTTGTGGATTGTCTAAAAATGTTGAACTTTCACGAACGTTTTCACATGCTTTCAATTTATGGGTAGTGTCCCCAAAGTGCAGCTGCAAGATTGCGCTTGTAGACAGGAAATTTTCGTTAGGAAATCATCCAACACCGCGAATGTTCGTTAATTTGGTGCGAAAGAATCGTGACACAATATGTTTGAAGGAACAAAGAGGAGGACATGTGGGAAGTCCTGTACCACTCGAAATGGTAAATAATACCGAGATCGTAATAAAGCCAATTCTGTCGGTGAGTTCTAGAAATTCGTTATTTTGTAACTTTTATGTAGGCATATTTTGGGAATATTGTCTATATATTTTCAAGAGATCAACATCCTATGCCTCACTCCTATGAATCAATGGAAATTAATAACAAGGTAGGTGAAGAAGGAAAGTATGAAGACGTTCAATACGCTGTGCTTAGATTATCTAAACATTTCGATTTTGCAAATTATGTGATGAACGATATGACTGACTGCACGTTTGAACTGATAGCACCCTCTCTAGCGAGCACTCGTTTGCAAATTGACAGTGAGTTGATGATCGCAACATTTATATTATGCTCTTGTGAGGTTGTGGAATCGGGTGGTGCTTTATTCAGTGACCCTTATGCTTTGGCGCTGTTCGGACAGAGACTACTGGAACTAATTTCTGATTTCTCGGGCGCCAGATAGATTGATAAAGGTGAGTTACTTCACCTCTGCTCCTATACATACTGGATCTGTTGGAAGGACAGGGCAGCTACAGTGAAGAAGGCACAGACGGTAAACGAGGGGTCAATGTTATTGAATCGACTTGGAATCAATAAGGAGCCAAGAGAGTGTAGGCTTTAATTACAAATCCTGAGTTTAGCCTGCAATACTGGTTGGTATATTCATTCTGAATAATTACAGGAATCACAATGAATCCGTGTCGAAAACATTCTCTGGTATTTTTAGGTTAGGCTTGGACTATTATTTATTCACAATATTTTTAGAAACAGAAACACAGTTCCAAACGGATGAAACAGATTCAATTCGTGTTTATTGTCCCTTTTCCTTCAATTTCTCAATATTCCCGTACAGGAATTATCAAAAAGGTTGATTGTTATCTTTTCTCAATGTCAAATTCTCGGACACAAAGCACAGAACCACGACAGGAACATCGAATAAAGACATACCTCTAGGGTCGCATGTCACGGCTTCCGTAGTCTGACCAAGAAGAAGGAGAAGATTACTCAACAATTTGACATTGAATTTTATTAGAAATGAAAACAATAACGAGAAGAATCGAATGTGAGCACAAACATGTGTATTCCAAAAGATTACGAATAATACTGTAGCTTTCTGAGACACTCCATTCAGGATTAGATGATTATCTTATCAGGACACTACAAGAATGAAATAAAATGATTACAGGTTGAAATCGTGAGAAATTCTAGATTCTGATTGCTCGGAATCCTCAATTATGACTGCATGAACTAGCGTCTAAGAGCACATGAAGGAATCCAGAAAAATTCGAGAAAAATAATCCACAAGCCTGAATGGGAACAGAATCTACAACCAATGCTCAGGGTTCTGAATGATTTTGACTGGAAAATATTCAATAACGAAAAAGTCATGACCAAGTGAACATCCATCATTTCAACAGATGAAATGATTCATTTGGATTCCATACCATAAACAAAGTGTTGAAAGATATCCATCAAGTCTTTAGGGTTGTAATGATGTCTAGCGGAGTTTACTATCAGGAAAAACTTCTGAAATTCAAGAATTAATGGATTACTCCGATCTATCAGCTTTTCGGGTTTCGAGATATCGAACAAGTCAAATTCAAGTCAAATATATTCCAGGTACTTGGATATTTATCAAAATCAATTTAATAATGAAGCTAGCTCAAAAACACTTTATTACACTCTGGGCTCACATTCTATCCGCCGGTCATCTTCCACGAACCGGACTGACTATATATATAATATGTCTCTTCAGGTTCAGGTTCGCATTATGTGATTAGAACTATGTTATCAAACGACTAGACTAGACTATTAGAGTAATAAGAGAGGTGGTCAAGAATGTTCTTCCGCTATTTTTGTGGATGATATATAGAACATCAAATTATTTGAAGGAGGGTAATTCCTTTTGAAGGGAGATAAAAAATAGTGTTTCCATAGTTGCATCAGATTAAAATCACGTTCCACTTTGCGTTTTATCGCAATGATATTTAAATTGTCACTGAAACGGGTCCATCGAGTCCACAGTATTAGACAAAATTATCCGTACAGACTATTCCATGAAGCATAGGAAGCCTTCGCCTTCAACAAGTCATTAGGATCAAAGCGTCTACAATTATTTCCTGCCAAACGGTCATAATTTGCTACGCCATATAGGTTACGTTACATCGTTGCAAACATCAAGCAGCTCGAATTTATGCAATACGATGAGTTGTTTTCTGTTCGTGATTGGTCAGATCATGAGGAAATTCCAAAATAAGTTGAATACTCTCATGTTCGAACAAAAACGAATACATCACAAGAAATGTTATCCCAATCCATCTTTCACTACCTATATTTAATTATTAGAATTCCTATAAAGTCCTTTTCTGAACATTTGCAGAACTTTCCTCTTGAAGCCTGGAAATTTCATTTAAAATTGCGCTTTGATTTCTCAACGTTGCGTACACAAAAAACTAGCGATTTGTGAAGCTCTACAAAGTGGTATACATCTTCTCTGAAATACATGGTGATGTCGAGAGTACGAAAAAAAATTAAGGTTCATAATTAATTTCTTTGAAACCCTTGGAGAAAACGAAATGAAATATTACTATTCCAAATCAATCTTTGTAGTCACATGGATTTTCCATTCACGAATTTCGATTACCAGTGGCGTAGTTACGGTCGTATGTCGCCAAATTTTCCTTCATATTTTTTCGTTCACATATGGTACCAAATTGGTATGTAACATCAGTTAGGCTTGTTGATACTTTAACTGGAAAAAAAATTCAACATGCCCAAATATGTAGAGGTTCCTGAGATATTTGCGAAAAACTCAAAAAATGTCTTGAGATAATATTGCTACGTGTTAAAGAAAACAAATTGTCATGCACAATTTTGTTCACATAATCCACAAATAGTATCTCAAACAGGTAGCACTTTGAGACACAACTCAGAATGAAATGTTCACTT